TTTAAATTTATATTAGTTTTTAGTTTTTAGTAGTAGCTAATTATGCTCCGGACGTATACCGGTTTCCGGTTCCTAGTTACTATTAAATTTAATTGTAACTACATAGTTACTATGCAGTTGCTATGCATTAAGAGATTCAAAGTTTCTGTATACATGTCATTTAATACATAGTATTCATATAATGTGCTACCAATTACCATAATGTCTATATTATTTTTAACTATGCTATTCTATAAAATATATATATTGATATATAATAAATTGGTTTAATATTTTGATTTAATAAACTGGCTTATTAAACTGGGTTAATAAACTGATTTGTTAAACTGGTTTACTCCAGTTTATAAACTAGTTTATTTCAGGTTATAAACTAGTTTACTCCAGTTTATAAACTGGTTTACTCCATTTATTAGCCTGGTTTAATGATCTGGTTTACTCCAGTTTATTAAATTCTAATCTACTCCATGTTGGTTTGGAGTCAAACTGGAGCTACTCTGGAGTGACCTACTCCATTTAACAACCCTAGTTCTAGATTTATTTTTTGGATTTTATTTATTGAACCGAGCAATACGTTGCACCCTTAGTTTACGGGGATATAAACTGATGATCATCGATAATGATCATCAGTTTTTTTTCAACCTAATTTTTTTGTATTTTTTTTCAAGCAACAGAATTTCGTCCATTCCGGTGTTGTCGTTACTGGTGTCGTCGTTATGGTGTCGCCGTAACTTGTTTACTATAATTGCTGTTCAGGTAATGAATTACGTCGTTTCTACGATTCTTTTTTTTAGTTCTGGTCTGTGAACGTGCCAACACTTTTTTCTTTCTGAATAGTGAACCAAGTTGACTTCGTCGTGTTGACGCGTCGTTAGGGTGGCGCCTCAACTAATAAAATCAAACATAGTCGGGGTAACATACGAAGATCATTAATTTCGGATTTATTAATAGTTAAACTTTGATATTATCGTTAATCAATTTTTCGACGAATTAACTAGATGATTATAGAAATAATTATAAATTAAATTTACATTTATTAGCACAAATATCTAACGAAAGTTTATAAAATTTTTTTTAACTTGAAGCTCTCGACTAGCTCTACATGGTAATAGAGCTACTTTTTTCAATAGTTTATAAAAATCGTTCAATTATTATATAAATATTAAATAATTAATTGATTTTTATAAACAAAAATTATTTAAAAAATAGCTCTATTAACATGTAGAGCTAGTTGAGAGCTTCAAGTTAAAAAAAAATTATATATACTTTTGTTAGATACTTGTGCTAATAAATGTAAATTTAATATTTAAATATACGGGCTATAAAAAATCCGAAATTAATGATCTTCAACTGGTTTGATTTAATTAGTTGAGGCGCCACCCTAACGCGTCGTTGCTGGTGAATAAGTAATGTGGTTTCGCGGCTTCGTAAGTGGTATCACACATCGTAAATGATGTGTGATTTCACGTCTTCGTAAATGGTGTGGTTTCGTGTCTTCATAATGGTGTGATTTTACGGCTTCGTAAGTGACGTGGTTTTACGGCTTAGAATGGAACAGTTTCACGGCTTCGTAAATGTAGTGGTTTCATGGCTTCGTAAGTGGTGTTGTTTTAAGGCTTCGTCGTTATAGTAATTCTACTGTTGATGGTGGTGAATAAGTTTAATTAACGTTTTTCATTATTTCTTCCAGGTAGTAGTTAACGATGTTGTTTGAAGAGGTGGTCGTCATTTTTATCGGGTTTTACTTTGGGGCCGTCACTATCTGGAATCATCGTTTGTGCGGTGCTATCGTTTTGTGTTGCCGTTTTGTTAGATAGTCACGATTTAGCAGTTATGAGATATTAGTGTTTAGGGTTAGTGTTGGGTTAGTTTAAGGTTAGGGTGATTAGTGGTTGTTGAATTAGGTTAGAGGTTTTTTAATTTTAAAATCGGTTCGTTGCACGAATAACAATAAATATTTTGATCGCAAATCGTTAATTAGTTTATTAGTTATGATATATTAAATTCGTAATTATCAAATTCGTACACGTAAATCGATATAACAGATAAGATAAAACCAACACGTGATCTAGGGTGCAAAGTATTGCAGGTGCAATAAATTATAAAGCCCTTATTTTTTCCTCCTCTGTGGCACTATAGGCTCCTGCTGCGAGACACAAATTCCTCCTTGTAAAATAAATTTTATAAACAGGAGTTTTCTTTGTCAATAGCGTAGTCATAAGATCTCTACGATAATATTTCAATTAGTATTAACCAGTATTAATAATGAAAAGAAGATCAGTGCAAATGAGCTTACTTTGTCGGAATTACAGTTGGAGCTGATGATTTCATGTAAGAGTAAGGTTTTGTTTCACTATCTTGAGATCTAACTTTATTTGTTGATAAACTATCCACATCGTACGAATCATCGGAAATGCCCTTTTTCACATCCCACAATCGAACGGTGTTATCAGCGCTTCCCGAGGCAAGAATAGTACCTTCTCTACTAAAATCTAGTGAATAGATAACATCTGTATGTCCTATCATCTTTTTGAGCAACTTTCCGTCCCCGAGGTCCCATAACATAATGGTCTTGTCTTCGCCTACAAAATCAACACATGTATATATCTTATTTATCACACAGTAAATGCACAGAGATCAACTTACCCCCAGAAGCCAATATACGTCCGTCCGGTGATACAGCCAAGCAACAAATTCCTCCAGTATGCCCTGAAAATATCCGGAAGCAAGATCCTCGCTGAACATCCCACATACGAACGGATTTATCAATAGATCCGGTAATTACATATTTAGAGTTGGGGTGAAATTTAATACACTTTATACATAAAACATATGTTAATATAAGGAATGCCTCAATATTTGCTATGATTTAAACCAGAGTTGGGCAATTGGACAATTTGACTGTCTAGTGAAATTTAAAATTTTTAAAATTGGTTACAATTTTTTTTTTAAAAAAATAAGCACCTCTGTTCGGAATTAAATAATTGTGCAGTAGAATACGGCCAATTTTTACACTATGTATGTTAAATAAATCAATGGACACTAGACAAATTAATATATCAGTGTCCAGTAAAATTCACTGGATATAAAGGTATCCCAACCCTGATTTAACAGTGTATCGAGAAAACTTTTACGTACATCTACATCTGATAGGTGTCCGGCGAATATTCTCAAGGGATAGATATGATCACAACTCCATAATCTTGCAGTCCTATCGTGGCCTGCAGTTGCAAAATAAAATCCATATGGACTAAAATCCACATCCCATACTGGCGAATTGTGACCTTTATAGCAAACGACATTCGTGAAGGTATCTGTACTCCAAAGCCTTACTTCATGTTTATGAATAAAAAATCAATTGTAGATTGAATATACACACAATTTTAGAGATTGAGGTAACAACAAGCATACCAGTTCTATCTTCAGAACAAGAAACAAGGTACTTATTGTCCGGACTAAAGCTTAACCCAAATATTGGTCCAGAATGCCCGAGGAGTTTTTTAAGGTCACTGCCAGGATGTTCTCGTTTACTTTCGAGGTCGCTTGCTTACGAATAAACAAATGTAGAAAATTTATTACTCATCAAATTAGGGAACGAACGGGTTATAAAATTTATAATCAATTTACCAGAATTTATTTCAGAAATGTCAACATACTCCTGGAATCCTCTCAGTTTTTCATCTTTCAAACTCCATAGTTTAATGTAAGAATCTGAGAAACCTCCTGCAATAAGAGATGAATCCTCCGACATAGATATGCAATTTAAACTAATGAGTAATAAATATTATTAGTTTTATTTATAATTGCAGGAAATCTATATACTTATACTAATAGACTACCTATTATGAGTGTTATGAAAGGTATAAAAGCAAACAGACGGAAGAGAGGTGGATGGACCCAGTTCTATTCTTTGTGACATGTCTTTGATTAGCTCGACCTGTGCATTTATATCAGATCCCTTGCTGAATGGCTCTCAGGTCAGATATGTAAATCCATATTCGCATTATCATAGGTTCAGTTATAATTAAATGATCAAAACATACTATGACGGCAGCGGAATAGATGCTCGGTCGGGAGCGTCTGAACTTTGTTCTCTTTTAACCTTTTCAATGAACTCTTGTTGTAATGAGTGAGGCTGGTATGCAATACCGTTCGCCTGATTTTAAAATTAAAAATAATTACAGTCGTCCCTCCATATAGTCACCTCCCATATAATCACATCATAGATAATCACATTATTATTTAGGCCAAACTATTATTTAATTTATAAGAAAAAACCCTCCATATAAGCACAACTCCTTTGTAAGCACATTTTAAAAAAAAGTTACTATGTGCCCAACTGTGTGATTGTATAGGAGGACGACTGTATCATAAATTTGATAAACAGGAACGGCAAGAACGAAAATAATAAATATATATTAATACCTTTTCATCAGTCCCTGCCTGATATTCGGCTTCAACCTGTGCCATTCTACGATTATCCTCGTCATTTAGCTTTCTCTCAATTTCATCACGCACAGCTGGATCCATTGGCATGTGTCCCAGTTGAACTTCTTGCTGATTAAATTCTTCGAGTTCTTGTGATGAGAAACCAGGAATACCAATCTCTGTATGCGATGTGCCAACTAACATGTATAGTAATAATAGAATTAATTCAGAGATTAAGATACGCGGAAAGATACAAAACACCTACCTTCGATATTAAGGTGCTGATTCACTATTCTTAATAGAAAACTTTTGTCTTGCAAAAAATCGATAAATATATCATATGCTGTATTTGTCATCTGTACCGGAAATTTCTTGGACAGAAAATTTTGAGCAAGCTCATTCTCTTGTATATGATGCGCATGGGTTATTACACGTAATGATTTTAATTCTTTAATATGAGTGCTATGATCCGTTTGGAACTTTTCGAAAAACTCTGTCGCTGTAGGATTCAATTTTTAAAGATTAATTTATGAAATATAAATAAATCGTTCAAAATACATTTAATTACAAAACCTTGGGAGATATGTTCTTTCGAGACAAGTTCGAGATACGCGTGTACAAATATTGGCCAAAGTACTCTCTGAAGTTCTCCCTGAATTCATATTAATAAATTTGGAAATGTATAATTCAAGTGTGCAAATTCAACATAATAGTAGGCGTTCAGATTGAAATAATTACTTTATATTTATCTAAAGATCCTTCAACATATGCTCGTAAACTTGAATAATTTTTCTTGTATTCCTCCGGGTTATAATTCCTATTTTCATATAAAACTTTGTAAATACGAAGAGATAAATTATTCGGCTGATCGAAGTTTCTTACCTTAATATCAAACCTGTCGGTTCGATTCCCATTCGTTCAAGATACTGCCGTACGATCTCGTCGGTAGAAGCCATTCTATTCATTATTATCGTCTTAAAACTCTGAAAATCAGATTTTATACTCAATTAAGGCTCGTCACATGACTCCATCACAGCAATAGCGAGTTTCAATTTGATTGGATGGTTGAACGAGCAAAACCTATACATAAATTAGGCCAACCTAACCTAAATCAGGCCAACTTTGCTGGCGAAACAGCAACCGGGGTTAAATCACCACCCAGATATGTGATTTAATAATCACTTATTATTACTGTCTAATTGTCTAAATGCATAAAAAATTTTTGCTTTTAATTATTAACGTAAAAATGGTTCTTATGACTTAAATGCATATATTGTCTATATGCATAAAAAAGTCTCTAACGGATAAAAAAAAGCGAAAGTATATTTGATTTTTTGATGTTAATAATGTAAATCACATGATCTGAAATTTTTTTGGGTGGCATTTAACCCCGGCTGTTTCGTAGAACTGGGTTTAAATTTATCAGTCGATCAAGATGTCACACCTAATTTTTTATCATATGATTTTCATAAATTACACAAATCGACGATAGAATTTTCTTAGTTAGAGGTTGGAACCGGTTTTAAATATTCGAGTTTATCACATCAAAATTCGAGTTTATCACTCCAAAATTCGAGTT